ATTTCTTTGATGTTGAGGGAATTGGATATCCCGAATATGCAGGAGGAGCATTTGCTCCAGGAAATTCGTTTAGAGTCAGAGTAGAAACTCTTTTTGACTCTTCTAGTTTGCCATCAATTTCCTTTTTCAAAATGGCAAACTTTTCAATCACATCCCTTACGTCAGATACGAATTTACTCGTGTAGTATCTGTTTTTGCTTAACACATGGGATGGTGATTGGAGTTTCCCGTCGTTTTCCTCAAACTTGGCTTGATAGTCCGTGAAGGACTCACACATTGCGTTCACTTGTTCTATAACTAATTCCTCCCATAAGGCCTTTTTTACAATTTTGTGTAAATCATTGTATATATTACACATAGCCTGTCCTAACTCAAATTGTTTTTCAATTGTTTTAGAAAAATCCATTTTTTTGTTTACAAGTGAACGATGTTAATGAAAATATTTTTTTTTTTTATATAAAAATAATGAATGAGTTTAAAATAAAAATATAAATAAAGACTTACCGATTTTTGAATCTTTCACTTTTATATATTTTTTATTTATTTATTTTATTTATTTATTTTTTTTTTTTGATTTACACGGCGCGAGTTCGGTTTGTTATAATCTATCTATTTATTTTTTTATTTTTTTTTAAAGGTATATATATTAAAGAATATTTTTTTTTTCATTACTTTTTTTTACAAATATTAATTTTGGAATTTTCACAACTTTTTTTTTTTGTTTTTTTTTTTTTTTTTGTTATTATTATATTATATTTTTCACTAAGTTCCAAAATTTCACCAATTATTATTTTTTTTTTTTTTTTTCACTTTCACACAGGCACGCGTTCAAGATACTAGGGGTCACCAATGTTTAGGGGGAGAGGGAATGAAACGATGTTGTTGAGTGTTTGACGAGAACTGATTCTTTATTCAATAGAAAAACTAAATCTAGCCTTAACATCTAACATAAAAATACACATGAGCTTATTTACTAATGCACGCTGTCCCAAAATACATAATGCACTCCACGCACACAATACGTTGCGGGAGAAACGAAACATACCTACTGTGTGATCGACCCTTTCTTATCTTCTATTTGTGGCCGTGCCATTAATTACATTATTTATTACCGACGATAAACATAGCATATAGAAAGCACATGCATCTTTAAGTGTTTTCTTTATTTAACTAATTTACATTCTTCGGAAAAGACAAATAAGAATGAGATAAGAATCTAAAGAAGTATATTAAACATACAAAACTATTTATACAACAAGTACAGTTTCTACAAAACTAAACAGACACATTGGTCAAATTTTTGTTTTCCGGCAAATAATTTTGTTTTCCCAATATCAGCTGTTTTTGTATTTACCGTCAAATAATATTTGGTGGTCAGATTGTGACAAAGAAATATTTCACATTTTTCGTCAAATATTTGCCCAATGTGACCTTACCTTAAGTAAGTAAAATTTTTATTGAGTCTTCTTTTTTTCGGTTACAATATGTTTTACTTATCGATAACAACGGCGATAATCAAAAAAACGCAAAATTATAATCGTTTTGTTTTGCTACACATTGACGATCGTTAATGCTACATGCAAAGCGAATAAACAGAAATTTACAAAATGTAAACAAATGTGAAGGAGAGATTTTTAGACTTGCTCGCGGTCTATATTTTAGCGTGCAGAGCAAATATCTGCATAACTACTTAAACACTAGCTAACACTTATTGTACAAAATACTTTGTACATACTTTTGAGTGCGGTTGAGGCGCTGGGAAAAACTAGAAATAAACAATCAATATTCAAAAATTACATATTTCCCAGTCGCCATAAAATACCACATGGGAACAATTCGGTGATCTTGTGCGCTGACGCATACGATAATGTGTCATATAATAATGATGATAATCCACACGCACAGATGTCGATGCGCTCAGTAGATGCACAAGACCACTAGAATGAAATGATAAGCAGCTCTGCAATGTTCTCCATTCAATATTAGAATAGATAAGAACAATTGTGTGGCTGCGACTAGGTTAATTTATATTATTATATATCATAATAAAGGTTGTTCTTTCTTTTCTCATTTTCCACATTTGGTTCTTCGAGCCGGATAGAGAATTGAAATAGCACCCTAACCATTCGGTCGGTTTTCTTTTCTCAACAAAATCAGAATAGAGTTGACAATCGAAGAGGGAGATTGGACTCTATTCTATTTTACATTGGTCCTTCGAAAAATAAAGAATCGACGACCTTAAATAAAATTGGTTTGAGTTATCCCCAACCAGTGGTAAGAAACTCAAAAAAAAAAAAAAAAAACAAAAAAGAAGTAGCTATTCTTTAAAAAAGAGGAGAATAGCTACCAATAAAAATTGGTTGAGGGATAAAATTATAAAGAGCCATAAAGGCAAAATTTAAAAATATATATTTAAAAAAAAGACCCAAAGGGCAAAAATTACAAAAAAAAAAAAATAAAAAAATACGCCGTAAAAGCAAACCAAAACATACAAAATAAAAAAGACCCACGGGGCAAATTAGAAAAAACATAACAAAAAGAGGACAACAACAGTCCCTCATAAAAAATATACAGTTTTGGAAAAGAGGACATCAAAGTCCCAACTGGAAAAACGCAAAAATAGAAAAAAGCCAAGAAGGCAATATAAAAAAGTTGTTCAAAAGAGGACAAATAGTCCCATCTAAAACATTTAAATTAAAAATGTATAAAGAAATGGAAGAAGATATCACCACTTTGGCAGACTATTTCCAGTTATTAACGTCGACCTCAGCCTTTGAAAAGGTGAAACACGTCGCGGCATGGAAGGTTCTGGTAGAAAATACATATTACCAGTTACGACGGTACTTGAGGGTACACCAAAAATATCTTCCAACCCATATGAAGACAGTACCCGGTGATGTGGATATGTGTATGTTATCGGCAATGAAGCTTTTAGCAACCCGGAGTCGCAATTACACAGACTTGGACATCGATGAAGAAATCGAAGATTCGATGAAACCTCCATTACGATGGATACTCTCGCTGAAATGTGAATATTTAACTTGGGAAGAGCAATTGGAAGAAAACAGACAACTTAACTATGTCGAAACAAAGGAAGATTACGACAGAGAATTAGAAGATGGTTTGCACGAACAAATGCAAGCCTATGAAAACAAGTTACAATCTATGCAGGGACAAGCAAGCGAACTGCGTTCTCAACTAACAATCGAAGTGGAAAAAAGTGAAATGATATTGAGAAATGCGAAGGCCCACGAAAATATCTGCTCGCCAAATCTGAAGAAAACCTGCGGACCAAAGATGAACAATTCGAAGAAAAACATCGAGTTCAGAAAGATCAAGTGCGACATCTGAAAACGAAGTTAGAGAAAGTCAATGAAAAATTGGCTAGCTCGGAAAGAGCGCGGCAAGTCTTGGAAGCTGAGAAAGATGACCTGTCCAAGCAACTAGCAAGTGTAAGAAAGGGACATAATACTGTTAATCTAAAACAGATTCGATGTTTAGAAGGAAATATTGTGAAGTGTTTCCCGCCGGCAAGTCCTCATTTTGAGGAACGGAAAGAAGAATAAAATTCCACCCTGACCAATGAAGAACTCGAAAAACATAATTATATTGGAGTAAAGGGAAAAGTAATAAAGGAGTTACGCACAGAAGGTCCCATCAGTTCCAACGAGTATGGACATGTATTTATCGAAGAAGTGGGGAAAAACAAACAAAGTTCTCTGTTTCCAGTTCCTGAAGGGTATTGCCTTAGCGAAATCAATACCAAACCTCCAATGGCCGTTAGAACAGAAGACGACAAACCGGAGCTTACAATAAAGCCAATGGCAATCATTTGCTACGTGGGTAATGACGGTCTGCAGCGATGGACTACTAATTCGGTAGCATGGAAAATGAAGCCGGCAGATAAAGGTGGTGGAATCGGCAAGAGAGGCTGGATAGAAAAGTGGAGCCGTTTCCTGCAAGCGGTCAACTAGGATAATTTATATAGTGTAGTATAATTAGTTTTAAATCTAAATATCTAAATATTTTTTATATAGTCCTGATCTACACCCATTTTATTTTTTAAACAGTCCACTAAAATATACGCATTTAAGCCGTCCGGGAGAATGTACAAAATACTTTGTACATACTTTTGAGTGCGGTTGAGGCGCTGGGAAAAACTAGAAATAAACAATCAATATTCAAAAATTACATATTTCCCAGCCGCCATAAAATACCACATGGGAACAATTCGGTGATCTTGTGCGCTGGCGCATACGATAATGTGTCAGATAATAAAGGTTATGATCCACACGCACAGATGTCGATGCGCTCAGTAGATGCACAAGACCACTAGAATGAAATGATAAGCAGCCCTGCAATGTTCTCCATTCAATATTAGAATAGATAAGAACAATTGTGTGGCTGCGACTAGGTTAAGTTATATTACGTAAGAAAAATATTTTCATAATAAAATCAGAACTGAATCTGCAGCCAAGCCATTCGGTTGGTTTTATTTTCTCAATCACTTATATACTAAAATAAATAAATATCTTTGATCAGTGTGACAATTTTAGCTAGGTATATATGAATTGAGATCATATAGCATTTTCAGATTAAATGAAACCTTTTGCAATTCAAATGAAACTTTTTGCAGCGGGAATGAAACCTTTGCAGTGAAATTGAAACCTTTTGCAGTGGAAATGAAACCTTTTGCAGTGAAAATGAAACCTTTTGCAGCGGGAATGAAACATTTTGCAACCGAAATTAAACTTTTTGCAAATCAAATGAAACTTTTTGCAAATCAAATGAAACTTTTAGATTTTTAGAAGGAAAAATAACAAAACATTTTAACTTTTAGTAGGTTTAAAATTAAATCAAATAATTATAACTAATATATAGTTAAAGAGGAATTTTTATTGCAAAATGTTTCATTTAATCTGCGAAAGCAATTATTGTGATAATAGACAATTATCTACAGTTTAAAGGGAACATTAATAAACATGAGGTGTGAAATGATCTATTTATGTGTAATTATTCAGGTACTACGTGACTTAAGTCTAAAATGTATATAAAAATATCACAGAATCGTTTTTTTTTCATTCATTTATCCCCTATGTGTTCCGGGACTCGCCTTGGTGAAAAAAGCAGGTAGTAAGTGCTGGCCAGAATTGTTGTCAAGATTTTCATTTAGAACTCCTACTGGTGAAAGGTAAATTGAGCCGGACCATGAAATATTTTGTTCGGCAGCATATATTTCATTTAAAATTTCATTATTATGTACGGCTAGGTTTTCCACAAATCTCCTTTGAAGGCTGAGAGCATACGTGAAGAATGTTTGCGCAGGTGTAAATGTGCTGATTTGAGAAGTGCTTGGAGGGATTCTAAAAGTTTTTTCCTACACATTTTCTCAGGATTTTTCGTTCAAACATTTCAATTTCATTTGCCACTGTTGGAGAAATCGAAAACCATATTGGGAAACCATAATATATAAATGGGCGGATGGCGACTTTATATAAGAACAACTTAGTACTCTGTGGCAGATAAGTATTGCACATGATGTATGATAAACGACCAGCTGTCATTTTGGCTTTTTTCAGGGCGGTTCTGGCGTGGTCATTAAACTTAAAATGTTTATTTATGTTTATTCCCAAATATTTTAAGGTGTTCCTAAAAGGGATTTTTGTTCCTCCAAGCGAGAGATTCAATAGTTTGGATTCTGGCACTACTGTTCTATGGCATTTTCCTGAAGCGTTTCTAATGCAAATTGCCTCCGACTTCGCAGCATTTATGGAAATTCCCCATGTCGTGTAATATGCTTTTATAATTTGAAGATGGTACGCTGCATTATTGAGAGCAGTAATTGGTGAGTTGTTATGACTATATATCAGGCAATCATCCGGGTATAAAATAGATTAGATGAAGGGGGGATATAAGAGCAAGTTACAAACAATTTAGATATGCCCAATTCAATGGAAACACCAACAAATTCTATATCAAGAAAATCATTTAGATAAATTAAATTAGTGGTATATTTGGAATCAACTGCAATAAGGACGCCACCACCTTTTTTACAAACACGATCTTTTCTAAATATTTCATATTTTGAACATAAAATTTCACTATTTAATATAGATGTTTTTAACCAAGTTTCGGAGAAAACCAATACATTATAATTGAAACCAATGCTATCATTATATAAACTGGTTAATTTTGTATTAAGCCCCCTTACATTCTGATAACAAATAGAAAATGAGTCATTTAGTTTTTTGGCTCCGAATCTGGTCTAAGAGGCAAATGAGCTAAATTATCGGATCTCTCCACAAATTCTTTAATAAATGCCCTAGCAGGCCAAAATTCTTTTAAAATCAACTGTACAAAAATATTTTCAGGCACAACGATTTTGAAAGAAGATCTACTTTCAGAAAATGCAGATCGGAGCTTATAGCATCTCAAAAAGTAATCTCCCTCAATTTTTGATTTTATATAATACATTATGTCATCGGCCGTTGTTTCTGGCGCAAACCTTGTTGCAAATATCATTTTCATGGCGGGAGCCATAGATAATGATCTTTGGACAGGTTGAGTTTTGCCAGTAGCAGTCTCGGGACGATCACTAGTGATAAGTGAAGGAAGTAATAATTCCTGTATGTTACGAGTAGATTGGGAGGTTTTCTTAGAAACCTCACTATCAATACTCATAACTTCAGGATTATTTACCCACTTACCTATACCGCTGTTATCTACCGGAACTGGGTGTGTAACAACACTGGCATACGACTGTTCACGTCCAGTCTCAGTTGTTTCAGTGATATTAACTGAAACCGGTTGTGGAACAGTGTTCTATACAGAAACTATTGCTTTGCGACTCGGAACTCCCTTAGTTGGTGCCTTTTTCGCAGCCCTTTTGCGTTTCTGGCCAGAAACTGACGGTGACGACACAAACTCATCTAATTCTTGGTATTTCTCAAACAATGTAGAGATACTCTCAAATCGGAGTGATAGTGAGGAAAAATCTTTTTTCATCGATGTCAATTCCGACTGCAAATCCTTTACAAAATTATAAAAGTCTGCAGAGTTTCCTACATTGCACACAACACCAACGAACACCAACATTATTTCTAATTGTGTCCACGACTTTTGCATTAATCCTAGCACATTTTGTATGCCATTGATTAAGACAAAACCAACAGGTAACACACAATTCATCCTCTGCAACAATATTACACAATTCAAAAGGGCACGACATTATTTATTTTAACTATTATTTATTTTAATTATAATTATTTCTTTTTTAATACACAAGTTACAACTATATTTTTCAAGATTAGATCTGTAGCTGGAATTTTTTATTTATTTATTTTATTCTTTTTTAAATTCTTTTTTTAAATGTTGGCAACTCTTATGAGATGGCAAACAAAACAAGACGATATGTTACAACAACCAATTAGCTAATGTAACAAAAGAAAGAGGATAAAAGGAGAAAGTAAAACTACACAATTTGCAAATTGATATTACTTTAAAAGACAAAACAATATTTTAAAACACTACACCAATTATCACTTGATAATAACAGTAAATTTTCTGTTGTTTAAAAAACTTGAAAAAATTTTGACCAAAAACGGATCCACGTTCAGTTCAATTAATTTATAAATAATTCCTTTGTGGTATGCAGAATCAAATGCCTTCTGGATATCTAGAGAGATTGCCACTGTACATATTTTCTCTCTTAGGTGACTCGTTATATCATTTTGAAATTTAAGTAAGGCATGATTTGTAGAGTGAGCTGGTTTAAATTCAAACTGAAATGGGGAGATAGGGTTAACAATAAATTCGTTTTTTAACTTTTCGTGTAACACACGCTCGAAAATTTTTCCAATGTTTGAAAATAAGGAAATAGGACGGAACTCGCCAGGATTTATGCTGCTAGGCCTTTTCTTTACTGGGATAATCTTCGCCGACTTCCACGAAAGTATCCGTTATTTAAGCAATTATTAAAAATTATTGTTAGGAAATTAATTGCTGTATCTGGGAAATTTGATATTCCGTCTAGCCCACTTGGTTTCTTCTTCTTTATACAGGCAATTTGAGATTTAACAACGGAGGCAGATGTGAAGTGATAAGTGTCAGGATTATCCAGCGAGTTAAATTCTTCATTAAATGTGTATATATGAGTAGAAATAGGATCTAAACATGATGAAATAGAATCTTCAATGTCTGACAGTGGCTCATCGGGTACGTTTTCACGGAATGTATTCACGAAGTGGTTATAAAAAGCATTGGCAATATCAGGACCGTGGGAAATAGTTACGTTATTTATATGTAGTTTTTGGCAGAAAGGATATTTTGCTTTTCCAACGATTTGGTAAACTTGCTGGAAAGCTGAGTGGCCTGGCTTAATATTTTTTAATTTATTGTTAAATAATTTAGCCTCTGCGTTTTTTATAAGGTCCCTTATTATTATCTTTAATAATTGTACTTGTTTAGATAGGAGGTTGTACTCACTGCTTAATCTGTTTCCATTCGTGTGAAAGATATTTTTCAACTCCCTCTGCCACTGGTATTTTATTTTAAGAATCTTCTTTATGTTTTCAGGTAGTGCAATTTTATGATCTCTAGACTCCACTTTTTCGGAATGCTGATCGTGTATGGAGAGGAAGGTATTTTTAAATCTGTTTATATAATCGTCCACTTCGTGATTATTTAAATTTCTATTTTTAGGTGGCAAAGTTTGGCGAAGAGCTGAGTCAAAGTCCTGACGATAGTTTACCCAATTTGTGGATTTATAAGATGTAAAGACTGGGGGAGACTTCAATGCGAGACTGGCCGTGTTAAAGGCTAATTTCAATTTTAACGGGAAGTGATCCGAAAAAGAGGGAAGCGATGAGATGTTGTAATTAGCAGCATTGAAGTCAATCAAATTGGCACTAATAAGAAAATGATCAAGGAATGAGGATCCGTTTGGGTATGAAGGCGTTGAGCAGCAAATTCTACTAATGTCAGTGGAATTATCAAGCAACCAACTATAAAGAGCTTTACCATTGGTATTGTCAGTGAGATCTCCCCATGATACATTTTTGGAGTTGAGATCTCCGCCAAAAATGAACCCGTCATATTGTGATGTTGCCGATAGACAGTTATTTAGTCCGTTTATAAGTTGCAGAGAATTGTAGTTACATGGGATATAGAGCGATCCCAACAGATATCTACGTATGATGTTACCTCTTGTTTCGATTTCTACAAAAACAGTATTGAAATTAATATCTTCAATATCAACTCGTCTGTAATTGAGGGTACTTTTTACTAATATGGCTACTCCTATGTGTGAGTAGTCATAAATAAAGTTGTAACCGCTTAATTTTATTCTTTTATTTCTGCGAAGATGACACTCCTGTATAAACGTAATGTCAATATTGTGATTTATGAGATATTTTTGCAACTCGATTTGTCGGCTACGATCTAGTAATGAACGTACGTTAAAGGTTAGGAAATTAAGAGTTCTTTGGCCCATAATTTTCCTTGACTTTTTTTAAGAGGCTCATAAACTTAGTTTTTGCCTCACTTTTTGACATTTTGTTGTATTCAGCTAGGAAAATTTCAATTTCTTGTACCAAGCTGAGTTCTTCTGGCTGCAAAAATAGACTGGATAGTTTCAAAAACTCGTCAATGATGGATGATTTTGTACTGTGGGAAGGCGTGGGTCGTAAAAAAATTGCAAAAGTTTTGTTTGGTGAGACTAAGCTGGTTGAGGGCAAGTTTGACATTTTGTTTGGCAGTTTCCGTCGTTTTAATTGCTGTTTCAATACGTTCTCTTCGAGTTGCAACGTTTTTTTGTAAGCGGGACAACCCTTCAATTTGCAGTATGACCAGTTGCTTTGCAATTTACGCAACATGGGTCAGAAGTATCAGATTTTAGTCTCTGACACTCACCGGGCAAGTGAATTTTGTCACATTTTACAAATTTGCGGAGTGACACAGTTCTTTAATAAATGCCCCCATGCTTGGCATCGACGGCATTGTATATCCTGATTCTTTCTTTTTGGCTTCTCCAAAAAGATGGTTGTTTCTGTATATATTTAATATGAGAAATATCACTTAAAGATTGGCCTGGTTCTAATGTGATCAAGAGAAGACCAGTATCAATATTTTCTTTTATAGACCTAGGTGTTGTAAATTTGGTAACCTTCGAAACAACATTGGGAATTATTTCATCAAAGAGGCTTTTAATGTTATCTACATCAATGTCATGATACAGACCTCTTAATACAAAAGAGACTTTTTTTAATTCCTTCGGGGTGAATGTATACGCCTGTACTGGGTTTTCATGTAATTTCTCCATCATTGCTATGTGAGCTTTGTTGCGTTCATCCTCATTTTAAAATTTTTATAATGTGCAATTTAATGCACCGAACGTGCTGAACGCCAGCCAAAAAAGAGAACCGGATACGCAGGGCGGCCGGCTAAATTTTAAAAAGTGATGCCAAGTTTCATGTTGTTTATTGTACAACATGAGAGACGTGTGGCAAAAATACAACACTGGGGATAATAGTGGGTAGGTAGAACACCTGATAAAGGTAAATAATAAATGTCAGGGAAATTGTGGGAAAATCTTGGAAAAGAGGGAAAGTTTGGTTGAGCGTCCTTGGTGGCCGTATATAAAGCACGGAGAGGGCGAAAAGCGCCATTATTTCAAAGTGGTGTGGAACAGAAACACTTCAGTCAATTTTTAAATGTTTTTTTTTTTTTGTGAATAGAAAAAGAAAATACTAAATTGGCAGTTACAATTTGTGTGTTTTATTGTTTTATTTGTGTGGCGTATCTAAACAATTTGTAAGTGTTGATTTGTAAGTGATGTTATGTCGGATGTGTTGTGTTAAGTTTTTGTGTTCTATTTAGGAATAACGCCGCGCATAAATCCACAATTGGACAGCGCCATCCGACTTGGACGAAAAAGAAGCGGGCATCCCCAACAATTATTTTTGTATCGCCAGGTGCGGCACAGGGGTTCCAGGCAACGAAAAGGTTCTGGAAACGGCCAAAAGACCTGGGAAACTGCCAGTGGATAACCCTTGGAACAGGCAATAGTACCAATCCGGGAAGCTAACCAGTAGATCCCACCTAAAAATCTGTAAAAAGAAGATAAAAAGTTGCCTAAGTATGCCGTTGTGAAGGTAATGTAATTCAAAATTTAAGTTACTTACCAAAGAAAAGAAAGAAAGCCAAATCCCGCTGAAAAAAGTCATATGAAGTTCCTTTTCCTTTGACGGAAATACCACTGAAATAAAAAAAGAAAAAAATATGAAATTCATCAATTAATCCGAATTTGACCAAAAGAAAAAAAAAGAAGCTATAAAAAATATTTGTTTGTTAGTGTGTAGTTTAGTATATAAGTTAAACGTATTGTTTGTAGTTAGATAAATAGTGCTTAAGATACAAATGTGAGGAAAATTAATGCCCATTAAATCTTATTGTTAGTGAGTGTAGGGTTGCCTCAAAATTTTACAGCTAGAAAATTTCGATTTTTCTGTTTGGGACGAGGATTTGAAATGCCCAAAAGATTTGTCTAAGTGAGCTCCTTTAGGCAGAAATTTAAAGTACTTGTATTGGCCAAAATTGGCGCTTCTAGCAGGGTAATAAAAAAAGGTAATCTGAGTATTGACTCACAATTTTTGTTTTTCGTTCGGGTATTAATAATCCAGTTTTTTTTATGTGTTCGTGTTGAAATTAGTTTTAAGAGAACGATAATGATTCTAATAAATAAGCTTAATGTCTAATTGTCTAAAGAAATAATATGTTGTGCTAAATTTTATTTGTGAGAGAGGAGGTTAGGCGTTGTAAGCGAGTGTGTGTGGCTTTTTGGGGCCCTTTTTAATTTTTTTTTTTGAGTTTATTTGGACTAAAGGGTCAAGGATGGGTGGGCATAGTGGGGGAGCAATAATATCAAGCTCCTGTGTCATAGGTGTATGTTGTGTATGTTTGTTTTCAGTTTTTCTGTGTTTGTGTTTATTCCAGTACAATTCTTTAAGTGTTCATTCCCTAGGGTTGATGGTGGCAGGGTTGAGAACCCCCTGGATTAACCGCTCCCTCCTGAGCTAGTGCGGAACCCCACCATAACGCCGAGTAGGCTGAATGTAACAATATGGCGCCCAATTCCAAAAGAAAACATTAATGTCTTCCAGACATTAGCCAATAATATGTGCAATAAAATCTACGCACTGTGCAATATACCATAGGAGACAATAGATTTAAGCAAAATATCGCATTTTTTACATGCTTGCGAATATTGCAACCACTTTCTAAGTAATTAAAAAGTATCAATTGTGCAATATTTAGCATAGAAAGTAAAAAATTAGGATATTCTGTTCCACTGATTAGGGTCTAGTGCAATAGCTTTTGTTCGTGAAGTGTAACAAAATTTGTATTGTTTTATGACCTGTGTTTTGACGTGTATGTGTTTAAATTTTTTAGAGTAGCGACAATATTTTAAGGTTAGCATAGGATAATTACAGTATCTGCGAACCGATGGGCCACAGACTGTATTGCACTAATTTTATCCTTTCGTGAGATCTCTTTTCTTTAAATATTGGAGAAAACTGCCACGGTGCTAATTTCTAAATGGAAAGTTCAATGTTTGTAATTGTAAAGTCAAACCTAGTCAATACTCTATGACAACCGTAATAGGCTATAAAATAAAATCATGTTTTTTTTGTTTGAAAAGCATAGACCACACACACACCTTATGACAGCTGAAAATACTCCTAAACTCCTCTCATATTTGTCATTGTCTTTGAAAATTTAAATTTTGTTTGTTTTGTTAACCTATTGATTTTTATTTGTTTTGTTTTGTTGTTATTTAACCAATTGATTTATAAATGTTTTGTTTTATTAATATTTACTATTTTTATAACTGTGTGTAATACATTAATCCCTTTTATTGTCTTTTAAAATTAATTAGTTTGTAGTTCATTCCATATAATATTTGCAGCCAACTACATAAGTATTTCCATCTTTTCATATATAGTAATATCAATGAACGCAGCTACGGTAGGGAAAAAACGCAGGAAAAGAAATAGATCGTTAGTGTTTGACCTTAGCAGAACTTCAATTGCATCACCAAAACCGAAAACTAAGAAAAAAGAAAAAATGCAAAACGCTAATGTCAACCCAACTGTTCGGGATTTATCAGGTTCAATTAATAATCCTAATCCTAGCACTAGTGCTGCAGCTAAAATGCCTTCTAACATGCCTCAACCCACTGTGCCGATGCAACCAAAAGAAGTTGACCAACTTGTCAGAAGTTTGGTGCAAGATAGTTTGAACCATGCCCAGGCAAATCTGCAGGTTCTGGTTGAAAAGAGCGTGAGCAAGGAGATGGAAAAGGTTTACACTGTAGTAGATAAATTAAATGATGCAATCGCAAAATTGTCGATCAGCAATCAAAGTGCACCACCAATTCAGATGCCTCAACCAATTCCTACATTAAATCCTAAACCCCCTTCTTCGCCCCCAAATAGCGTAAATAATCCACCTATAAACCGTACCCATACTATTACTCCATCCTTCATGAGTTTTCAAAATTTTCAAGGTATAAGAATTGAGAGATTTGGGATAAATTTCTCTGGCAGACCCAATACTTTGTCAGTAGAAGACTTTATATACCGGCTAGAACATTTTCAAAAGCTTTACAACCTTCCATGGAAAGATATTTTGAATGAGTTCCATGTTTTAGTTTCAGGCCCTGCCAATGAATGGTTCTGGCTAGAACAAATGAATAACAATATTTCTACTTGGCAGTCATTAAAACATGCCTTGTGTGAAAGGTTCAAAACCAGAAGAACATGCTTCGAAGAAATGCGTGATTTGTTAGAGCGAAAGCAAATGCCAGGAGAATCGATAAACTCGTTCTTCCACGACTTAAACGCAATGAGACCTAAGCTAGAAAGACCAGTTTCGGAATACGAAATGATCTCCCTGGCTAAGAAAAATGTGCGAAAGAATATTTCAGGTATTGTTTATTCGATGCAAGTATCCTCGCTTGAGCAATTGAGAATTGAGTGTATTGAGATTGAAAAGACATTCTTTCGACGCGATCCTGCCCCAGTTACTACTCCTACTTACAATAAACCAGCTCGTGTAAATGCGATGCATGAAGAGAATGACAAAGAAATTTTTCAGGTATTCGATGAACCAGATGAAGTAGTAGATGTTTCAGCAGTCAATGTTCAATTAGTCTGTTGGAATTGCCAAACTCCCGGCCACGGATTCAGGGATTGTCTTTCCACTCAAAGAAATCTATTTTGTTTTAAGTGTGGAAAGCAGAATACCATTACGCCGAAATGTGCAAATTGTCGATTGGGAAACTCGAGGAAGAACCTGGTTACAGCGGGAAACCACCGTTCTGCCGAGCAGCCCGCCGATCAAAATCCACAATCGATTTAGAAAAAAGTAAAACCGATAAACAAATTTACCCTAAAATTCGACATTATTTACCATTGGAGGTCAGGGAACAAAATTATGAGGAAATAAGGTCAAGAATATTCGGAGAAGATCAAAATGAAATGAATAGCAAGCAATTCAAGAAAAAACAAAGAATTTCAAAACTAAGGCAAAAGCAAAAACAATTTAAATTGCTAAAGAAATCTGTGTCCGAATCAATAGTCCGATGCCAATATAAAACAGATTTAAGACCATATGTTACGATAAAAATTGAAGGAAAGGAAGTTAGAGGTTTATTAGACTCTGGCGCTACAGTCAGTCTACTGGGAAGAAATTGTAGAGAAATAGTGGAAGAGATAGGAACTAATGTAAAACTCTATATTTCAAATGTCACCACTGCTTCTGGTCAACGACACCGCATTTTAGGTACAATTGAAGTCGATGTTGAATATCAAAGTCAGTTAGCTAAAATGACATTGTTTCTATGTCCTGACTTAGAACAGGAATTATATTTAGGGATAGATTTTTGGAAGATATTTGGAATTGCACCCGAAATATTTCCCACAGAAGAAATAAATCTGGAACTTCAGCAAAAAATTCATGGGAATTCAGCTAATGATAATGAAAATATGCATGTTCTAACAGAGGAACAACAGCAACAGCTAAATGAAGTTGTAAACAAATTTCCGACATTTGAAAAGAATGGATTGGGATGTACCAAGTTGGAGAAACATGCCATTAAATTGATAGAAGGAGCAAATCCTGTCAAGGACAAACATTACCCTCTGTCGCCCGCCGTACAGGAAATAGTCTATAGAGAAATTGATAACATGATCAAACTAAACGTGATTGAAGAAAGCGATTCACCGTGGAGCAACAGGACTACCGTAGTGCGAAAACCAGGCAAAAACAGATTCTGTTTAGATGCGAGAAAACTCAATGCATTAACCATCAAGGATGCATATCCATTGCAGAACATTGATGGGATATTGAGTCGAATAGATCAAACGCATTATATTAGCAGTGTCGACCTGAAGTACGCGTTTTGGCAAATAGAACTTGAAGAAGAAGCCAAACCGTACACAGCCTTCACAGTACCAGGTCGACCGCTATACCAATTCAGAGTAATGCCGTTTGGTCTATGCAATGCGGCGCAACGACTCTGTCGGTTGATGGACCGAGTAATACCTGGTAAACTGAAGTCCAACGTGTTCATATATTTAGATGATTTACTGATTATATCTGATGAATTTGAAACGCACTTGAAATTGTTGAGCGAGGTAGCAGATTGTTTAAAGAGGGCCAACTTAACAATTGGTTTCAAAAAGTCCTCGTTTTGTTTCCGTGAATTGAAGTATCTTGGGTTCATAATCGGAAACGGCTGTTTAAAAACCGACCCGGAAAAAGTCAGCGCAATTCTAAAAATACCGATACCAAAGACTCCAAGAGAAGTAAGAAGCTTTTTAGGAACGGCCGGATGGTACCGTCGTTTCATACAAGATTTCGCTTCCATATCCGCTGCCCTAACTGATACATTAAAAAAGGGGCAGAAATTTACGATGACACCTCAAGCATGTGAATCATTCCGAACACTGAAGAAAGCTCTCACCTCGGCACCAGTGCTTCGACATCCCGATTTTCAGCGAGAATTTTTCATACAGTGTGACGCATCTGAGTACGGAATTGGAGCCGTTCTTTTCCAAAGAGATGATAATGGTTGGGAATATCCAATTGCTTTCTACTCGCAAAAACTAAATTCAAGTCAGAGGAATTATTCGGTAACTGAGAAGGAATGTTTGGCGGCGGTTCTTGCCGTAAAGAGATTTCGACCATACGTGGAATGCATGAAATTCACCATGATCACAGATCACGCAAGTCTCAAGTGGCTTATGTCACTGAAAGATTTAAGTGGGAGACTTGCTAGATGGTCTCTGCAGCTTCAAGCTTTTGATTTTTCAATTGAATACCGAAAAGGATCTGAGAATGTTGTGGCTGATACCTTATCCCGTCTACCAATTGAATCGGAGATAGCAGTAGAAGAAATCACTAACGATGATATTTTGGATTTCGAAACCACCGCGTTTGATAGCGAGGAGTACCTGAAGTTGCGAAAAACAATAATAGAGAATCAAGAAAGACTACCCGATTTAAAAGTCGACAACGACAAAATTTACATAAGAGTGAATAATTTTGATGAAACGACGATGGAATTTGAATGGAAATTGTGGATACCGGAAGAAATTACCTATACGATGATTGAGAAGGCCCACAATTATAATCAGTCTGTCCACGATGGCATAAATAAAACTATGAAACGTTTAAAAACGTATTATTATTGGCCAAAAATGGCATGCCAAGTAAAAAATTACGTGTCCAATTGCCAAGTCTGCAAAGAAACCAAATCGTCAAATTCTATTATGCGACCTACCATAGGAAACGAGGTTATCACAGAAAGGCCATTCCAAAAACTTTATGTAGATTTCCTCGGAAAGTATCCCAGATCTAAAAATGGAAACGCCTACATTTTTATTGTCATGGACCATTTCACTAAATTCATCTTTTTACATGCGATGAGAGAAGCTACCGCTAAAAATGTTGTGGAATTTCTGGAGGACAAAGTATTTCGTGTATTTGGGGTCCCAGAAACAATCCATAGTGACAATGGAAAACAATTTGTCTCAAATATGTTTCAAGAAATGGTTAAGAACTACAAAATAAACCATTTAACGACAGCGTACTACTCTCCACAATCAAATGCGGCAGAGAGAGTGAACCAGTCTGTACTGGCGGCGATAAGGACTTATGTCGAGAAAGATCACCGAGATTGGGACTTATACCTATCTGAAATCGAGCAAGCTCTCCGAACGTCGGTACACTCCGCCACAGGTGTTAACCCATTCTTTGCATTGTTCGGATACAATATGTTTACCAACGGAAATGATTATAGATTAGCCAAGAAACTCAAATCATTCACTGACCACCAAATTATACAATTTAATAGAAAGGATAGATTAGAATTAATGAGAGAAAACATCAAGAAAAACATGCATCAAGCTTATGAGGCCAGTGCCAAAAGGTACAATAGTAGATCACGAAATGTAACTTTTCGTCCAGGCCAGGAAGTCTTTCGTAGGAATCACGTTCTCTCAGATTTCAAGAATAATATAAATGCGAAATTTTGCAAGAAGTTTTTGAAGTGCAGACCTATTGGAAACAATATGTATGAGCTGGAGACTCTGCAAGGGAAACCCCTTGGAAACTTCCATGTCAAGGATATAAAAGCTTAAAATGATGTGAGATATAATTACTGTGATATAATTACTTAAGTGCAATATAATTTATAAAATGTATGTCGTGTATGTCTATTTTATAAATTATAATGTGTCGTTGTTTTTATACATAGAATTTGTTTTATAAATTTAAGGTTTGTATTATCAAATAGGATGTGGACAAAGTGTCTTGAGGGTCTTGTGCAATAGATATGCGATTAGAAAGGAAATACGCAATAATAAAAATCTGTGATATAGAATTTACTAGTGCAATATAGGATAATTAAATTAGTTCGTTATTGTCCTAAATTATTTATTTGTATTGCTCAGAATTTTTTTCTCAGTCGTTATTGTCAATTTTTTTTTAAATTGTATGTCTAAAGCAAAGATAACAGCTAAAGAGCCCGGCTGAATGAGACTTCAGGGTGTGGGAGTTCCCCACGTTGTGGAAAACATAAGTAGAAAGACCAATATTCCATTTAATTCCTTTCAAAATACAATAGCCACCATCTCTGATTGTCTCAAACAACCAAAGTACGTTTATATTCATGAAAAGTTCCGTAGATTTTTTTTCTAACAACCATTTCCGGCATTAAAGTATTCAATTGTTACCTGACAACCGATATTTCTCACATTACAATCGTGGAAATTTAGTTGATTTTGGTTAAATTATTTTAAAAGCATAACAGATTTTTCAACTAAGATTAAAAGAGTAATATAATATAAAAGAAGAATAAAATCATATCCCCTTTGCATTGCTGTTGATTTTCATTTGTTTTGATTAAATATTTTTTTTCCAATATTCTCCTTTTTTCCCGGGGAATGCAAAAATATAGTCGATATGATTTGGTTTTTGTTACATATGGCCTTATTATAGTTTGTATTTCTTCTCAATTAAAAACCATAGAAGATTTTTTTTTATTCTATTCATTTGTAGGTATTCTGTTTTTCCTGTATTTTCAGAAAATTTCCTGAAAGTTGTGTCAATTTTTGTTTTTTTTTATATGTACTCATCTTTTCAGTGTTTGTCTATCAATGAATATCTAATGTTATAACATTTTATCAGCTTACCACTTGCTCTTTGGCAATTTAGCAAAACAGAATTAGATACTTTTCAGCTCAGTTTTGAAGATTCACAAAAAGTTTTTTTTTGATCACACAATACTCTGCATTGTTCCATTTAGAATTCAACATTTTTATAGTAAAAAGGCATTTGAATTGTTACAAAAGCCTGAGGTAGTAATTTTAGTACTCCAAGAAGAAACACAATTTGTTCACTATGGCATAATCTTTCTATCAGAACCTTAAATATCGAATTTTCGGCTTTAAGAAAGAATAATTGTAATAATTTTTTTGTCATTTCCATCAAAATGTCTTTAATTTTTTTATCTTCATCCAATACCACAATACTTTTCGTACACTTTTCTAAAAACACTTCTTTTTCATAATCCAACCACCAACAGATACCCCCAATACATAATTTCCAAATCCCAGATTCAGTCGTTCATACTAAACCAACATTTTTAAATTCTACACAGTTTGTACACGTATAATGCTAGGAACACAATTGGAGCGAACGACGAATTTTTTCGCGGCGTATGTTCGTCGTCAAAAATAAAACACATATGTGTATATGGAAGTGCACACAATCACGGCACCGGCGAAAATTTCGTCGGTCGCCGCGAACTCAATTAGCTTTATTTCTATTTCATACGCCGGCGACCGGCGAACAAAATAGTACAAGGTGGCCATACTTGTACGAATTTTATGTGTTTTAGTAAATAAAGTTACTTTTTACTTTAAAATTTGTTATGGTCACTCTACTATCTGTTACTCGTATAAAAAAACATAATTAATTTGTTTATTTATTTGTGTACTTGCGCCTGAGTGAAGATGGATATCAGTGAATTTATAATAGAGAAGATGGACATAAGTGAAATTATAATAGAGAACGTAAAGAATTATGTGTTCTTGTATAATTCATTGTAGTCAACAAATGAGCAAAAAGTAAACAACTTCATCAGCTGTTTTATAATTTCGTCGGTATTGTGTTCCATACGACGAATTTTGGCGGCTCATTTTGTCGCCGCGTAGGGCGAAATTCGTCGTTCGCTCCAATTGTGTTCCTAGCATAACACATTTCCATAAAACCATCTTCATACCATGGGAAAAGAATATAGGTACACGCTTAAGAACATTGATATGTCAAAATTTTTATAATGTTTGATAAGTGGATTTTTAAATGTTTTTTATACAACGCAATTTAGAGTTTGTTATAATATGCGTTCTTTCAAAAAAAAAAAAATTCTTACAAATTTTATAATTTTTCATTCAACATTTTCAATTGACAGTTCATTGTCCCATTGTCGATGCGACTACCTGTATTTTTCTACCAGGCTTCATACATTGGAATAGTTCCCAACGGTAATCCCAACTGTAATCTTTAGTCGCTTCGTCTTGGCGTTGACTCATTTCACTATGTCAATACTCTTTAGTGGGCTTTGCTTGGTTCATTACCAAACGAACACTTTCGGTTTTTATAAAATAATCCACTACAAAAATTATTTTTTTACTCACCTGAATTATGTTCTTGAAATACGCCAATCAGCAGTTTACTCCTTATGCAGCGATTTAAAGCCGTTTGGATATCCTATTTTTGTTGGTTGACAATCTGTCTATCCGCACATCAGTTCTTTGTTTAAATTTAATTTTATACTTTTTTCATAACACACAAATAAGTTTCAGGCAGATGCACTGCCAATTTTAAATATCACTTGCACTTTATTTTTATACACAACCATGGTCGTTTACCTGAAAAGGAAAAAAGAAAAACATTAGTAAATATGGGAAAAGAAAATGACAACAAAACTATTGTTTTGCAGATGCATAAATACAAAAAATGACTACCTGCACAATATAGAGACCTGGTTATAAATTGTTTGATGAGTGCGTGAGTTACAGAAACAACATCAACAACAACAACATTAACACAAGCACCTACAAAGCCACCAAGGTTAAATCAAGCAAATAAATAATAAAAATTATTAAGAATTGCTAATAAGTCAATAACCGTATGAATTGCTACATATAAAATTAGTAAGAATTTTAAATAGTTCAACAGACCGAAAAAGAACTGTAAAATAAAGTATTGTTCAATAAAAGAATTGTTAAATAAGCATATATTTAAATTTCAAAGAATTGTAAACAGGCCACCAGCTATAGAATTACTAATAATTTTATAAATTGTCAAAATGCAGTTATTGCAATTTTCACTTTAAATAAGTTTATAATCGTAACTTTCATTTTAATTATTGTTTTCAATAAAGATGAGTAATTTTTGAGCAACCAACGAATAAACTTGTGTTTTTTTTAATACTCGGATTACTACAAGAATTAACTGGCGCAGTCGGGTAGTTCTGGTTCCTGCGCTACAAAAAAAAAAAAAATTTAAATAAGTGTTGTGACGGTTTATCGCAAACGAAAAAAAAAAGCGCACGGAATTACATAGAAGACGAAGGATAATCGTCTGAAAAGAACAGAACAGAACCAGCATCCGTGACGGACCATCACGAGGAAAAGCAGAACCAACAAGAGAGGACATCTGTACGGACATCTGCCAAGGAAAACTACTTTAAGGACAACCGATTCCAGTCAACGTTACCAACAATAATGTCAATAAGAACTATAATTTTAATATTGTAAGTGAAAATTTCTATTATTACCAAATTTATTGTGGAAAAGTGCTAGAAACAAGCAATACTATTAAATATTTTACTAAAGGATAAAATAGAAACATACTTAAAAGATTCAAGATTCAGTTTAAAGATTAATAAAAGTGAAAACTTATATTGTGAACAAATATAAAATAATTTAACCGTGTTTTTCAAAGAAAAGAAAAATAGATAATTTTTTTTAAATAATTTACCTATTAAATATTATGTTCAAAAGAACATATTTTACTAACACATTTTTTAATTTTGTTTTTATTATTATTTTATTCTATGTCAGCATATAACTGACCTATATAATTATTGTTTGCCTTATGCAGGCCAATAGCCTAAATAAAGAAACACCTCGATTGGTTTCACATTGCATGGGTTATTGGCTGAAGTAATTTATTGCTTAGTTAACTTTAAATGCTAGTTTTAATGAATTCAAAAATGTATAAATAGAAAGCAAAAATAAATATTCTTGGTAGATTACAAGAAATTGTAAACATACCAAGGTTACACAATTCAAGTGTTGTGTATATCTGCTTTAATTAATATTAATAAACATTTTTTGGTGACCCCGACGTGATCCTGACAAGGATTACTTGATTCACTCATAAATTTCGAATTTCCCCCCACCAGTGGTAAGGAATTTGAAATATTTATTTGTGAAAGGAGCTAGTTACGTACAACTAGTAGCACCATCTAAGAGCCAGAAACATCTGGAGAAGAAGCCAGTACCTACATCAAGAATCTGAATCAACTGATAGCTAATCACCGTAAGGCGGATACAGTATGGATCTAGCTACAGTAATCGAGCAACAACAAGCAGCAATTGCCGAGTTGAGGAAGGCAATTGCGAACGTAAAAAAGGCTCCATTGGAAAGAAGAACGGTGGAGTTCTACAGCAAAAAGCTCAAGGAAATGGAAGCACTCTGGGCAGAGATCGATCGCAATGAAAACAAAATTCGTGCAGATCCTGCGGCAGAGTCACATCTCCATATCACCAATAACGAATACCAAGTCATTGGTGAAGAGTACAGAGCTGCAATCGACAACATCGAGGCAGACATCAAAAGGGGCAAAGAACAAATGCCTCAGAAACCGCTTCCCGCAACAAGGGAGGGGGTGCAAAAACAATCAGGCCAGTTTACTGCAACCAGCAGCGTGACTGCATTAGTGAGACGTCAGAGGGCTCTAATGCAGTCCATACAAACGTTAATAAGGGGCAATTCAGGCCAAGCTGCTCCCTGTCAGACAGTGGCTGCAATTGAAAAACTGTGGACACACGTGGAAGATATCCACTTCAAAATGTTCGAGGACTTTGATGACCCAACGTTGGTGGGGTACGATGCATCAGCCTACGTTCTCTTAGAGGAAGAGACGTTAAAGTTCAAAGAAAAAATATCGACGCTAACACAGGTCGATCATTCGTCGTCTCAGCAGAGATCAGGCGGAAACTTGGCAAATCAAGTTAATCTGCCAAAAATTACAATCCCTCAATTTAATGGGGATTATTCGAAGTGGCAGACGTTTGCTGACATTTTTGGGAAAATGATCAACGAGCAAGCCTTGCCACAAGTGCAAAAAATGTGGTATCTCAAGGCCAACGTGACTGGGGAAGCCGAGAAACTCATAAGGCACCTCGAGTTGACCGAGGCGAATTACGACATTGCCTGGAAGACACTCCAAGACAGGTACAATAACAAGAGAGCTCAAGTGTCAACTATACTTGAGAGAATGCTAAACCTGCCCAACATGTCTGGCGATAGCAGATCAGTGAAGGACTTTCATGATAGTCTTCATGAATCGTTATTGGCATTGGAGGGTCTTGGAGTAAGGCCAAAGGAATGGGATCCACTCTTAATCCACATCCTAACAAAGAGGATGGACAAGACTACTCATGTGTTGTATGAGCAGTCGATTGTAGATTCGAAAGAACTCCAAACGATGGATCATTTCATGAAATGTTTGAGGAGTCGTTTCGAATCATTAGAAGCTGTCAATGGGATTCAGAAGAGCAAACCGTCAGCGACGACTGCTTCCACCACGATCCGTAGATGTCACATGTGCAAAGGTGACCACCCCCTATATTACTGCAAACAGTTCTTGGCAATGACAGTGCCCGAAAGACAGAAATGGGTTGCTAGACACAAGATGTGTCTAAATTGCTTCAAGGATGACCATCAGGCAAAAACGTGTACAAGTGGGAAGTGCAGGAAGTGTCAACAAAAACACAATACACTTTTGCATTTTTCAACGAGGCCACAAGTAGAGAACAAGTCAGCAGATTTGTCGGTTCAACAGCCGCCAACAGTAGCATCGGCGAATAGATCCCAATCATACGTACTTCTTGCAACCGCACGTGTTGCGATCAAGGCAAATAATGGAAGAAGCTATGAGTTTAAGGCGATTCTGGATTCCGGTTCACAAATGAATCTGGTGTCAGAGCGACTAGTGCAGAGGTTGGGTATCGAACCCATTCAAACATCTCTCTGTATCGAAGGTGTTGGAGGTAGATCAAGAACCGCAAACCACAGGGTCAACGTGGAGCTTAAGTCACTCACCAGCAAATTCAGAACACGCCTAGAAGCCTTTGTGTTACCAAATATAGTGCCACCCCAACCAAGCACTGAGATCGACATCACATCATGGCCTATTCCAGAAAACATAAAACTAGCAGATCCCTATTTTTATCAAACGACCAGGATTGACGTACTACTTGGAGCAGAGTTCTACTTCAACCTGATTCTCTCACAAGAACTTCGAATGTCCAAAGAGCTTCCTATATTGAAGAACTCAAAACTAGGATGGATTGCTAGTGGAAGAGTTCAGGCTGAATCAGAAACTGTGACATGCGCCGTTTTCGGAGAAGATGAACATGCTTTAGAAGATTTATTAAAGATGTTCTGGGAACAAGACGATGTTTGTGAAGACCAGAAGTTGACAATAGCAGAGGAACAGTGTGAAAATCACTTCAACCAAAATACAACAGTGAATGAGAATGGTCGGTTTGTGGTGCGATTACCGTTTGCAGACGGCCCTGAGAAAATTTCTGAATCCTTGAATATTGCAGCATCAAGATTCTTTGCGTTGGAACGTCGCTTATCTAAGGATGCAAGTCTTCACGAGCAGTATGCTAAATTTATGAAGGAGTATGAGGATCTGGGACATATGACGAAAATACAATCAAGAGAGGTGCGTGGTAATCATTACTATATCCCGCATCATTGTGTCCTACGCCCAAATAGCAGCACAACAAAACTGAGGGTTGTGTTCGATGCGTCTTGCAAGTCATCATCTGGATGGTCACTCAATGATATTTTGCATTCAGGTCCCAGGGTTCAAGGAGATCTGTTTGGAATGCTGTTGCGGTTTAGACTGCCGAGATTTGTGTTTACAACAGACATTGAAAAGATGTACAGACAAGTGCTAGTCGACAAAAGAGATCGCAAATATCAACTAATCGTATGGAGAAACACTCCAGACAAGGAACTCGAACATTACATGTTGAATACGTTAACATATGGTACGACGTGTGCCCCATATCTTGCTACAAGATGTCTGAAAAGGCTAGCAGATACGAACATACAAAGATATCCATTGGGGGCGATGGTATTGCAAAAGAATTTTTACGTTGACGATTGCATGTGCGGGTCTGACAGTTTAACAACGGCAATTGAGATGCAGAAACAAGTTAATATGTTACTACTGGAAGCTGGATTTAGACTACGAAAATGGTGTGCTAACCACTTAAAACTGCTGCATGGAATTCCTCCAGAAGATAGAGAAGTAGATCTCAATTTTGACAAATCATCAACCAAGGTTTTGGGATTAACATGGATTCCTCAAGCAGACCGATTTTGTTTGAAGAGTGATGTGAACGAATGCACCAAGGTCACCAAGCGGAAGGTCACATCTGATTTGGCAAGATTGTTTGACCCCTTAGGAATTGCGGGTCCTGTGGTGTCAGCAGCTAAGATCTTTATTCAGCAACTGTGGAAGAATAAACTTGGCTGGGACGAGGAACTGCCAGCAGAAAGGGCAGCATATTGGCTATCGTTCCGAGAAGGTCTGAAGATGTTAAATGATTTCAGGTTACCCAGACACATGTTTGATGGAGAGAAACCAACAAAAATTGAGATACATACTTTCGTGGACGCGTCAGAAAAGGCATATGGTGCTGTGGTGTATCTTCGAGCTATGCTGCCAGACGGCAGGCATATAGTCAGACTTCTTTGTTC